ATATATATATATATATATATATATATATATATATATATATATATATATATATATATATATATATATATTATAAGTACTGGTTTGTTTGGTTCAGTGCTTTGTGAATTCCTTATGGAGTGAATGAACGGAAAAAATTCTTCCCAGATCACTGCTGGAAAAGTCGGTCAGTGTTTGCGCTGCGTAATTACACACTTCAGCTTTGAACATCTGCTGGTGTTTTTTTTGCATTGTGGAATGTTGCATTTTCGTCACAAATAATTAATTAATAAGTTATTCATATTAATTCAAATAAATATTAATATATCAATATTTATTTTCTGCACAGGTTCCAAAAACAATCTCTCCAATCTGGAATATGGAAGAACGCCATACGGATTGTAAATACATTTGTTCGAAAAACAGGGCTGAGCATTGCAGCAACTACTGAACTTGACTAGAAAGATTTATTGAGGGCTGAAACTGTGTGTGTGTGTGTCTGTCTCTCTCTGTGTGTGTGTGTGTGTCTGTCTGTCTCTCTCTCTGTGTGTGTGTGTGTGTCTGTCTATCTGTCTGTGAGTGTGTGTGTGTGTGTGTGTCTGTCTGTCTGTCTCTCTCTCTCTGTGTGTGTGTGTGTGTGTGTGTGTGTGTCTGTCTGTCTGTCTATCTGTCTGTGAGTGTGTGTGAGAGAGTGTGTTTGTGAGTGTGTGTACATGCATGCATGCTAAGGACCATGTACGTGAACAGGTGTGTGTGTGTGTGTGTGTGCGTGTGTGTGTGTGTGCGTGTACATGCATACTAAGGATCGTGTGTGTGTGTGAAACCGGAGCTGGTGTTTTGGACTCCTCCTGTGGATGAAGGACGTTTCCTCGCAGTCTGAATGTTCTGGCCTGGATTAAAGTTCATGGTGTCGTTTTTCTAAATTCAGCATCAGTTTCAGCTCCGGCAGGAATCAACAATCTGGTGTTGCATTATGAAACAGACTGGAGATCCGACGACAATATCTGCATATATTTATTTGAGTTCGTTTCGAACGAGATCATGTCTTTTTAATGATTTATATTTGTATGTTTGAGATTTATCTATGCAGGGATCCTACTGATTAAGTTATTGCGTATGCGTCTGACTTTAACTGTCCTGCGTGTTAGGAGTAACTACGGCTGCTGTGCACAGGTCATATTTATTGAAGGATTGAATAGGAATATTTATTTCATATGAAGTTTTATTTTCTACATGACTTTAGTGGAACTAATTCATCGCTGACAGAGACTACACTGCAATTATTTCACTCTGAATACAAATAAAGATTGTACGTGCCACTGTCGTCCGCCGAGTGTGTGTGAGTTTGCATGAGTGTTTTAGACGCAGGACATCAGCTGATGCCACACTGAGCTGAATCATGTGTTAAGCACGTTCATAATCACCCGGCTGAAGAAAAGGAAAACCAGTGTGTGGCATGTTGATAAAAACAGCTGAGAGAAAGACATGCTCTTCACTTAAAGGAACAGTTGACTACAAATTAACTATGACTATAATAGTCAAAAAGTGAACTATTATGAACACCCTCAGGCCATCTGAGATTAGGATGAGTTTGTTTCTTCATCAGATTTGGAGAAATGTAGCACTGCATCAGTGTCTCAGCAATGGATGCTCTGCAGTGAATGGGTGCCGTCAGAATGAGAGTCCAAACAGCTGATAAAAACATCACAATCGTTTTAAAACTTTAAAAATAAAGCGTTTTTATGGATTATACTCATATTTTAGTTAAAAGCATCTTAATGCTGGATGTGTTTCAGCTTTTGTCTTCTCCAGATGTTAACTGATGGACCGGAGTGCTGTGGATTATTGTGATGCTTTTATCAGCTGTTTGGACTCTCATTCTGACGGCACCCATTCACTGCAGAGCATCCATTGCTGAGACACTGATGCAATCAAAATGCATTATATTTGTAGATTCTTTATTGCATCTGAAGTTGGTTGATCGTCATGTTTTAATGCATTATACTGTCTAAAGGTGTAACAATTAATAGATATTGTATAATAACTGGTTACAGTTATTCATGAGAATATACTATGCATCATAAGCTGCATAATTAATGCATTAACTTTATAATGCAGTATGCCGTAAAACAGGATATTTCTTTAAAAACAGTATTTAGATAGCACATAAATATATTGATCAAAACTAAAGTACTTTGTTAGTAAATCATATCACATGAATTAAGTAATTGAAGCATGTTTATGAAGACTTCTAATAAAAATAAATAAAAAAAAGAATTGTGGCATCTCTGCATGTAGCTGCAATTAAAATACTATGAAGTAAATGCATTAATAATTTCTCCGACTCAGAGAATTCATAAATTGATAATGCACATTTCGACATTAATGCAATTCAAATTGTTTTAGATAAACGTTGGTCAAATGTCTAAATGTACAATTACGGTCATTGGCCTAATGCACCAAAAAAAACAAACCTTTTCTTTAAAAAGATCATTTATTTTCTGCATTTCATTCAAGTACAAAATTATTATTTTTTAAACAAAAAAAAAAACCCAGAACCCATTGCATTTGAATATCAAATAAATAAGATGCATGGAATATGCATAGTTTAAAAAAAAATAATAATAATAAAAGCACCTCTTCCATTTGATCCAAGGGAACAATAACTGCATCCACATACATCTTTGAACAATCCGGCACTTGAATAACAGAAAAACATCAAGTTTGTTACACGGAAAATAGCTGCCACATTTGGTTTCCATGAACCTGAGGTAAACATCTCAACAGCAGCCCGAAAACTCCTGCGTCACTAGAACGCCAGCAAAAGTGCAACAAACAGACCAAACTGTATTAAAGTCTTTTTTTATATACCCTACATCTGCATTACAAATGCCCTGCGAGTTGGTAATTCACTGCTTTCAACAATCAGGCCTCTCACGAGACCAAACAGCTTCATTTTAAAACCTAGTAAACGTTCATGACATCTCAATCTCAGCATTCTTCAATCAAAAGCTCTTCGGAGCTGTACAGTTTTCTTTTAATAACTCTAAATCCAGTGCTCAGTTTAAGTGCACGTCTAACAACCGGAGACGAAGGCGATCTGCCGGCGAAGAGCCCCTGGAGTTTCGGCCAAAAGCCCCTGGAGTCGAGCCTCAGCACGAGCGTGAGCTGGAAGGTGGGCACTAGGTACGGGTCGACGGAGATCTGTCCCACGGCTTCGCAGCTGCCATCCTGCTCCACGCAGAGGTCAACGAGGGCACCGCGAAGGCCGCAGGGCTCGCTGACCGACAGGTGCACCAGCTCCTGGCCGATGTGCTCCAGGAGCGTCTCGGGAATCAGCAGCTTGGAGCAGTGCAAGATGCCGTGTTTGGCATCGGTCAGGTTAAGTGCGATGAGCTGCACCACTTCTTTGCACAACGCCTCTTCGGTCGGGTCAAAAAATAAGTCTGATTCGGACAGATCGGCTAGGGATATGGAACCTGCGGGAGATGAATGCAAGCATGCATTAGACTCGAGAACTTGCAATTCAAGTTGGAAAACGTATGCATGGAAGCTCGTGCAAGAGCGTGTTTACCTGCATCTGATGCATCGTCTGTGCTGCTGTGATTGTCTGCATCGGAGTCCAGGCTTTGGCTGCTGTGCAGTTTCTGCATCAGGTTGCTCCAGGACAAGCGTTTGGATGGAGCATCAGATGTCCGTGTGGATGGGAGACCCGAGTCTTCAGATGAAAGGCTGGAAATCAGCTGCTCCTGCATTGTTGTGCCTTAGAATGACTGTAAAAGAGAAGATTTGGTTTTATTATTCATGCACGAGACAAAAGCAGCTGGTGCATTGCAAAAGAATTGAGTGTTTTTGGCTTTTCCAGTACAAATCAAGATGCATTTACAAGCAAAATGACTAGAGATTTAAAGTCTTGCATTCTGAAAATTGTATTAAGTTCATGCTATTGTATTGGAAAATTACTTTATGCATAACACAAGACAAGAACCTGCCAATAGGGCGAGAAAAATAAGCATAAACACTAAATATTGAGATTTAGTCTGAATACTTTGCTTCTCATCTAAAAAAAGCTTGGATAATTGACAACACCAAGCAAGAAAATCTCTGCAGAGTAAACAAGTCAGTCAACAAAGAACATTGTCATTTTAACTAAAAAAAAAAAAAAAAACATGCATCTGCCAGTTATTTGACTGATTTTGCAGTGCTGATGTGAACATTGCAGCAGATAGTAATGATGCAGAATACTTTTGCGTTGCATTGTACTCTAAGGTTTGAAAGAACAATGAAGACAACACAAACAGCGCTGTTTAAACACTGAAAATCCTCAAATAAGACACTTACCGATCTTCAGCACTGTAGATCTTCAGGTGTGATGGATTGTCGGTAGTTTCCGCAGATAAAGTAGTCCAAACAAAGACCAGCGACCAACAAAGCCGTGTGAGACGCGGTGTGAGACGCGGAGTGAGACGCGGAGTGAGACGCGGAGTGAGACGCGGAGTGAGTGCAGCAGCTGTTCGTGTCCGCAGTGAGCGCCGCAAACACTGACGCAACCGGTCTGCGCCTGCTTATATACCCGCTGGCCACGCCCCCTGAGAGTTTCCAGCCAATCGGCGTTTATGTCACGTCCCAAGTTCGCCTGGTAACACGAAGCAGCGCTGACCAATGAGAGCGTGCTATTGTCTGCGGTGGAGGAGGTGCATTCAATGGCTGATGATTTCAACTAAATAAACACACTGCGAGATCCATGCAGTCAAATGCGTCCTTATCCAATAATCCATGCCTGCTGGATTTAATATAGGTTGTTGGCATGAGAGACTTGCTTGATATAAGCTGATATATGCTTCATGCTGTTCTTCTATTATTGTTATCATGCAACTTTTATGAGCTCATATCTGTAGGCTACTTTTAAAAATGCATGTGTCACATTGCCAAACTATTTGTTAGTTACACTGAAAAACAAAATGGTGCCATTTAAATTAACTGGCTTTATTCAAAGACCTAAACACACTTATACCAACAAAACTAAGTTTTATGGGTTAAATAAATTCGAAATAGATAACAATTGCAGGTCAACACTTTTTATAGTTGATAAGACCTCAGATGTAGAATTGTCCTTATATTTTAGTCTAAAATATTGATTTTAAAAGTCTTTAAAACAAAACCAAACTAAAAGCACCAAAAGTTCACATTCAGGGGTCTTAATCTTAAGTTCTCACGTTTGTGCATTTGATGGTGGAAGACTTTACTAAATGGTTACACTAAAAAACCAGATGGTAACCTGAAAATTGGAAACATCTAAAACAACTGGTTTGATTCAAATCAAAAAATTATTTAATGTCTCAGAATGGGACGTCCTATATATATTGTGCCAAGAAAACGGAATATTATGGGTTAAATATAACCCATTTAAGCTTTTTTTATAGTGTAAAAGACATAAATATACACTTTTCTAAGTATTTTTTAATGCTAAATAATATTTTACAAGTCTAAGGACACATTAACCCTGTTTTCACATTTTAACCATTTAAAAGTACT